AGGCAGGCTTCACACATAACTCGTGCACGAACAACTTTTTTGTTACTGCAAATTATAAGGGTGTTTTTAGCATGAGAAAAATTAAGGAAAGCCGTTTGTTTGTTGTCTTCTTTTATCACAGGCATAACTTAACAGCAGAAAGCTTCCACGTAAATGATATCGATAATCTCATTTATGTCTTAATCGTGAAATTTTTTTCTAGAAGCCTGTCTTACTTGTCAAATTATCACTTAGAAGAAAATACCAGGTTAACTGTGAGCGCTTCAGGACTCTGTGAGTTTTGGAATGACGGATGTAACTTTGTTACACTTAATGCCATTGCAAAAACGAATAGGCTTTTACGCATAGATCTAAGCACAATGACTAGAAACATGTCGTCCTCTTCCAAAGATTTAAAACTAACTTTAACCATAAAGATGACCTATAACGGAGATGTGTAATTAATATTAGTAAAATGGAGTCAACATAAAATCATGGCTAAAAATAAAAACAATCACAGCCTTCAGAACTACTTTTGGGGCTTTCAAATAACTAAATACTCAAACTTTTCAAATAAAAAACACTATTAGATCATCAGAAGATACATGAAAACTACTGGGACGCGTTTTCTGCAGCATTATTCGCATGGCAGGAGACAAGACTAAGAGAATGGTTAAATAAACTTTTTAAAGGTGTGTGTGTGTGTATAAGTATATTATTAGTATAATATATATAATTATATAAGTATATATATATATATAGAGAGAGAGAGAGAGAGAAGTGCAGAAAGAGATCAAAGAAAGGAGAGAAGAGAGAAGAGAGAGATGGGTATGCTTGGTATCAAGTACAAAAAGTTGTGCTTGCGTAGTGAGAATGACATAAAGTCCCACATCCACTCGAAATTCATTGCAATATCCGCCATGGCCACTTCTCCCAACTCATGTGAATGTGGTCCGCCGTCCATTTGAATGAGTGAAGGGATTGTGTGCACCTCACTAACCAAGCATAACCATATTTCTCATATTATATATATATATATATATATTATATATATAATATATATAATAATATATATATATAGTATATTAATTAGCGCAAAAAAGGGTTTTGCTAACTATGTGGAGGTGAAGGTGAGTGAGGGCTATGCTTCCTAGTCCCGCTTTCTCTCTCATCCTTAACCATTACCGACGAATTATTATTTGTCTTTACGAAAAACTAAGTTTCATGTCAAAATAATGATAATAATCGAAGTATTTCATATATCAGAAGATCCACTTAACTAACTATTCTCGCACTTGATCCGTTAATGTGCTAAATCAAACTAGACAGATCTCATTCGATCCCCAATTATTAAATAAAAGAGAACAATACAAAGTCAACTAGATCCAAAACCCTAAGCACATCAAATTTCTAGCTGAAAACTATGCCGCAGAGCAATCAAAGAAGGGGAATTTTTGCTCACCGACATGACGATCGCCTCCGAAACCTCTGAAGAGAGAGAGAGGAAGTTTCCTTCTTCTTTCGAGCGGACCCACGGAAAAAATAACAGAGAGGGCGAGGGGTATTTATAGGTCGGGGGCAAAATTGGAAGAGTGAACGTTTTCGTCAGAAGATTCTCGTTACCGGTCACCGGCTAACGACGTCAGCGACAGCTGACCTCTCTCGCTCGGTAAGCCAGCCGAGGTATTCTCACCGTAGGGTGATCGTATAAGCCAGAGTTTAGTGTAAGGGTTAATTTCACAGATCCGCCGGAATACTATCCCCGTCATGCTTGCTCATCTTATAGAATCCTCTGAACTTTTGGGTGTTGCACAAACCCCCCCTAAACTTTAAGTTTTTCTTAATGAACTTCACTACATGTAATCTGCAAAATAAATAAAAAACATTTCTAAGGGAAAACTCAAAATCTAAGGAGACGTTACGTTGCGTGTAAATATAAATGATAATGTTTGATTTTTTAGGGAAAATGTGTCGAGGCCCCAAAAATAGAAATTCCATGTAACCAGGCCCCCCTTATTTCCCCCGTGTGGATCAGCCCAAAAAATATCGTTTTATGTGTCAATGCCCCTCTACGTCAGCAGTATACAAAAAAAAGATTGTATTTTGAAAAAAAACCCGAAATTGCCCTTCTCTTTCTTCCCAGACGCCTCGTCCCCAAAAGCATGGAAAATCACGTCTAATTAATGTGATCTGACGGAAGAAATGGAGAGAAATCTCTCCTCTTTTTTTTACTCTATCATGAGCAATAACTAGTTAGTTGTCTATTACTTTTCCTCAGCCCAAAATTCTCTTCATTACTCTTTCTATTACTCCTCTTTATCCTTAAATTCGATCCATTACACTTACCTTCCCTTCATAATGGTTGAGAAGGCTATCATCTGCATTGTCTCTTCGAGTGATAAGACAATATTCTTGAAGATTAACTCTTCAACCACCAAGTTGGATCTTAAAATTGATGTGTTAGAGAGGTTATATCTTCCATATGATTCATTAACTTTGTCATACAAAGATGAAATAAACGGAAGCTTCAAATTTTCACTCAAATTATTTTAATTATTTGCAGATTACATATAGGAAGGTTTAAGAGAAAAAGTTAAAATTCAAAGTGTTTTGTGCAGCGCTCCAAAGTTAGGGGGTTAAAATGAAGTTAACCCGGATAACTTTGACAGAGACCCCAAAAGTATCTTGCTCGGACTGAACAGGATCCGATAAAAGACAGAGTCCAAAGCAAGTCCCTAAACATAATTTTCCTCGATATAACAATTCCTCATCGCTTCATACCCCTTCCCCAAATCGACACCAGCAGCAAAAGGAGGCAGCAGTTCAACACAGGTCAAACCCTAAAAAAACCCTAGAAAATGGTGCGGAAGAAGACGGTGGAGTTCGACGAATCGCCTCCAGACATCGATCTCAGCAATCCCTATGGCGATCCAGTGGCGATGCTCGAGTATCGAGAGCATCTCGTCCGCGAGAAATGGATCCAGATCGAGACCGCGAAGATCATCAGAGAGAAGCTCCGATGGTGCTATCGTATTGAGGGGGTGAATCATCTTCAGAAGTGCCGCCATCTCGTTGATCAGTATCTTGAGGCTACTCGCGGTGTTGGATGGGGCAAGGATCATCGTCCTCATGAGCTCCATGGTGAGATTCAAACCCTAGATCTGTAAATTTGAGTTCTTTTTGATGTGGTGGTGTAATTTTGGGTTTGGGATGGTGTTTTTTTGATAGGCCCGAAGAAAGAAGTGGAGGAGTAGCTCGAGTTCTGGTCGTCAAGGTGAGCTTTTAATTAGTTAACTTTGTGCCTCGATTACGTTATAATTTGCTTACATACACACGAAAATGTCTTTTTTATGTGTTCTGTGGCTTTTTGATGCTTGTCGGCGTTGGACTAAACCTTAGTGACCTGAGGGAAATGGATTCCTCATAGGAAATAAAAAAGAGAAAAGAAAAGAAAGAGGAAATAAACAGAGTCAGAGCCCATGAAAAATTGAGAATTTGCAACTGCACGTACTTAATTGCCATTGGGTCGACATAGACAAAAACGGATAAAAATTGTAGGTTATGGCTCTTAAAATCGCAAGTTTTGATGTAAGCATACTTTATTTCTATTTAGTCAAAATGGACAAAAATAATGAAAAATCATCACTTACAACCCGTGAAAATCGAGAATTTTGAAATACACATACTATATCGCTATTGCGACAAAACAAACAATAACAGAAAAACGTAGCTTATAACTCGTGAATTTTATAGCTCATGAATTTTGAACTATTTGTGCACCTTTGAAATGAACTAAACAAAATGGACACAAATCGTGGATTGTATCCCATAGAAATTGCAAATTTTGAACTACATACCATTGAGTCGAAATAGATGAAAATTTTAAAAAGTTGGGTTATAGAAAATAAAAATCAAGAATTTTGAACTACACGTATTTAATTACCGTTTGGTGAAAATGGACAAGAACAAATAAAAATATTGGGTTATAGCCTATGAAAAGTGTAAATTTTGAACAGTGTTATAAATAGCCGTAAATCACCACCCAATAGTGACGCGAATAACGTTAGCGGTCCCTTCCCGCTACGCTATCGTCCAATAGCGGGGACATTACGGAATATACTTTTTTTCGCTTGCAAAAACGGCCAATAGCGTCATAGCAGTGAATAGCGGGTGATTGCAGACAAAATCCGCTTTTTGACCGCTATTTAAAAGTTGTTTGAGGTTTATTTTTTTGAAATTAAACCCGACCAACAACCACTACATCCCACCGCCTCCCCCAATTTCCCGCGTACTCCCGCCATCTCCTATAGCCTCTGACACCTCCCTCAACACTTCCTCTCACATCCTCTTGTCGTGAACTCCTAGCGCAGTCCTCTCATCGATTAACTCATTTTCTTGAAGACGACGACTCTTTGACTCCTTCAATCGTCTTCGGTGTTATGTGACGGTTACATATCTATTTCATGTTTAGGATCTCTTTAAATCATCAAATGCACTTTTAAATTTTCTAGAATTTTCTTTACTTCTTTTATTTTTTGATATTTATACATATCTAAATTAGAGTGTTATTTGATTTTACGTTTTTTACCGTTATTTTACCGCAATAGCCCTAAATAGCCTTAGCGAAGCCTCACCGCTATACGACGCTATCCGCTATCGATAACCTTGATTTTGAACTACATGTCATTGAAGCGAAGTGAATGAAAATGACTGAAAACATAGGGTTATAACCAATGAAATCATGAATTTTGAACTATGTGTAATTAATTGCTTTTGAGTTGAAATAGATAATGAAAAATTGTGGATTATAACTCATGAAAATCGTGAATTTTGAAGTAAGCATGTTTAATTCCGTTATGTGCAAATAGACAAAAACTATGTCACTGCTCGTGAAAATCACAAATTTTGAACTACGTGCCATTGGGTGAAAATGGATGAGAATGAATAGAAATCGCGGGTTATAGTCCATCAAATTGGTAAATTTTGAAATACACATTTATTTGTCATTTCAGGTGAAATGGATGAAAATGACTAAGTGAGTTAGTCTATGAAAATTGAGAATTTAGAACTACATCTACTTAATTGCCACTTGGTCAAATTGGCCAAAAATGGATAATAATTTTGGGTTATAGCCTATAAAACACATATTTTGGTTGCATACTTAATTTTTAGTGGGCTGAAATGGTAAAAAACAATAGAAAATTGCCTATGACTCGAGAATTTTGAGAGACGCGTACTTAATGCCATTGAGTCGGAACATACAATTTAAAAAAGGGGAAAAAATAGGGTTATGGCCCATGAAATCACGAATTGATAACTACATGTACTTAATTGCCTTTAGGTTGAAATAGAAAAAATGGACAAATTGTGAATTACAGTTCATAAAAAACGCGAATCTAAAGTAAGCATGCTTAATTTCATTGTATCTAAATTGACAAAATGGACAAAAAACGTGAGTTACAGGCCATGAAATCGCAAATTTGATATTGTTATTGAGTAAAAATTTGTGGGTTATAGGCCATGAAAATAATTTTTTTTAAACTACATCCATTTAGTTGAAATGGTTGAATGTGACTAAGAAAAGTGATTTATAGCCCATGAAAATCGCTAATCTTAAACTACATCCACTTAGTCAAAGTAGATGAAAATGATTGAAAAATATGGATTATTGCCCATGAAAATCAAGAATTTTAAACTATGCATACTTAATTATCATTGGTTAAAATGGATAAAAAACAAATTGAGTTGCCCATAAAATCGTGAATTTTAATGTACACATACTTTTCATTGGGTTGAAATGAGCAAAGACGCTAAAAATTCATTAGTTACCCATGAAAATCGATAATTTTGAAATACGTATACTTTATCCCTATAGAGTCAAAGCGTTCACTAATAGACAAATCGTAGGTTATAAACCATGAAATCTTGAATTTTTGACTGTGTATGTAATTGCGTTTTGGTTGAAATAGACAAAAAAGAACAAAAATTGTTGGTTATACCTATGAAAATTGTAAATTTTGAAGCATACTCTAGTGATATACTGATATTAGGTTAAGGATAAATATGGGAAAAATTAATGGATTATAGCCATAATTGTAAATTTCGACATGTGTGCCATTGAGTCTAATGTTATGAAAATGAACAGAAATCTAGATTATAGCCCATGAAAGTCAGGAATTTTAAAATACATGGACTTTATTTATATTGGGTCGGAATGGAAAAGCGAATAAAAATTATGGGCGACATAAAATCGCAAATGTTGACGTATGAGTAGTGAATACTAAATGCTTATGGGGTCAAAATAAATAAAAACGATAAAAAATCGTGGGTTAGCCCATGAAATTGAAAATTTTCAAGTATGCAATTTTATTGCCATTGGGTCGCAACATACAATAACAAACAAAAATTACGGTTTAGCTTATGGAATCACAAATTCTAAATCAAGGTTGCTGATAGCGGATCACGTCGCGTCGCGGCAAGGTATCACTAAGGCTATTTGGGACTATTGCGGCAAAATAGCGATAAATAGCGCACAGTCAAATAGCGGTCAAATATAAATATATTTAAATATTCTAAATAATAAAAAAATCATATAAAAAATTTAAAATTTTTACAAATGCATACTTGATGCCTAAACATGAAATAGATGTGTAATAATTATATAATATTTACAAAGTACTATAATTATTAAGATTAAAGAATAAAAAACGTACATGTTTATCAAAAAGATCGTTATTTGTCCCATTTCTTCAACTTTCAAGTCTAATATAAAAATGCTCAACAATAAAAAAACATTGATTACTAACATCATCATTATATTAACTACTAGAAATTTCATTAGGGTTGAATATGCAACATGAGAATTGTTGGCTACTAAAATGCAAAAATTAAGGAAGACAGTCTTGGGGTGACGAATCAGCAGTGGGCTTCCCACCCATTATTATCATTTTCTTTTTCCTGCCCTTTTTCTCCCTCCCTTTTTCTTCTCTCTCACCAACTCTTCAACAAACACTGTAACATTACCGGAGAACAAAACCTCTTCACCAAATTTATTTTAAAAAAGAAAAGAAAAACTAAAACAAAATAATTAATTAACATATTTCCCTCTTCATTACTAATTAATCACCAGCCGTTTTAATTCCTTCCGTGTTCTCTTTTCTCGAGCTCAAGGAAAGAAAGGAAGAAAGAAAAACAGAGCCACAGAGATCGTAGTCGATGGGTGCGCACAGGCGGCACCACCAAGATCGGTGGTGCTCGGCCGCATCGAAGCTATGGCGTCATGGTGATCTTCGCCGCGTGCTTCATCCATTTCGTCTTCATCTTTATCCTCGCTTTCCTTGCTCCGCCCCTCGTCGGCCACCCCTCTTTCCTTCGCCCCTCGTCGACCATCTGGTGCGGGAGATGGCGTCGATTGGAGGCGGCGTTGATCGGAGGCGGCGCTGGAAGGAGTCGTTGGAAGGAGTCGCAGGCGGCTAGGGCACAGAACACAGTCGGGTCGGGATTTGGGAAGAGATGGGTTTTTGTTTAACGGGTCCGGGTCGGGTTCGGGGAGGGATAAAAGCCATATTGTAGCGGGTATTTAGCGCTTTTCAGCGCTAAAGCGGCGCTATTATGCGTGTTTCGAGCGCATAGCGATTTTCTCTGCCAAACCTCTCCGTGATCCCCTTAAGCGGCGCGGTGAAGCACCACGATCACGATTAGCGGCACGATAGCGGCGCTATTTGCCGCTTTTTACAGCATTGTTTCAAATTACATGTACTTATTTGCCTTTTTGGTTGAAATGGACAAAAAATGGACGAAAATCTGATTGAAGTGAATGTGTTAATTGCCACTGGGTTGAAAAAAGACAAACATGGATAAAAATCATGATCCTCTTGTCGTGAACTCCTAGCGCAGTCCTCTCATCGATTAACTCATTTTCTTGAAGACGACGACTCTTTGACTCCTTCAATCGTCTTCGGTGTTATGTGACGGTTACATATCTATTTCATGTTTAGGATCTCTTTAAATCATCAAATGCACTTTTAAATTTTCTAGAATTTTCTTTACTTCTTTTATTTTTTGATATTTATACATATCTAAATTAGAGTGTTATTTGATTTTACGTTTTTTACCGTTATTTTACCGCAATAGCCCTAAATAGCCTTAGCGAAGCCTCACCGCTATACGACGCTATCCGCTATCGATAACCTTGATTTTGAACTACATGTCATTGAAGCGAAGTGAATGAAAATGACTGAAAACATAGGGTTATAACCAATGAAATCATGAATT